CATTTTTCAGCCCCCGCGAGAGGCTTCTTAGAGGCCCCCAGAGGCTCCAGGAGGGCCCATGGCGGCCTCGGGAGTGCCTAGGAGATCTCCGGAGGGCCCCAGAGGGACCCACCCTGGACCGCGACCCCCTTCTCAACGGAAAGGCCCCCATGCGTGAAATTGTTTTCAGCATTCCGCCCCCGCGAGAGGGTTCTGAGAGGGCCCACGGAGGCTCCAGGAGGGCCCATGGCGGCCCCAGGAGAGCGCACGATATCTCAAGAGCACCCCATAGAACCCATTCTGACTTACACTGGGAGCTCCAGAGGGCCCACGAGGCTCCAAGAGGCCCCAAGAGGCCCCGAAGAGTCCAACCAGGCCACAGGACCCCCAGCACGCTCTAGGAGAGCCAAGGCGACACCAAGAGGCTCCAGGACGGGCGTCATTCCCTCTCCTCCTGCTCGTCGTCGTCATCCGCCTCCTCATCCGTCCTGCTTTTAATCATTCCTCCCCCTCTTCCTCCTCCTTCTCCTCCTCTTACTCCTCCTCCTCCGCCTCCTCCTCTTCTTCCTCCTCCTCCTCCTCTTCCTCCTCCTCCTCCTCCTCCTACCTCATCCGTAGCCTCGATGGCTCCGATAGCGCCGTGCGCGAGATCCGCCTCCTCCCCATCCGTCCTCCTCCCTCCTCCCTCCTCCCTCCCTCCTCCTCCGAGGAGAATTTCACGACAACAAGGGCGCCGACGCGATGAACAGACACCACGTCGGGGCTCTGGGAACGGAGTCGAAGACGAAACCTCGAATAACTTAGTCTTCGATGTTCGGGGCATTTTTCTGACCACCTGCGAGCCTTGTGGAAACTTCCGAGAGCCTCAGGGGTGGACGTCTGGCGCAAGAACACGAGTGGAGGAGGAGACAACACGACGCTCCACGGAGTAAACTGCACCCAGTTGGTTTCTACCCCCGTGAGGGGCGTTACAGGGTAAAATAGTTATTTAATTGTCATCCAATTATTTGCGTCGTTCCCTTGCTCATTTAATCATTGGCACTGCGTGGGGGAGGCGCGGAACGAAGACATATTCAATGCTAATCAAAATGGTTATTTCGATGAGCACGCAAGCGAACATATAAATAATTAAATGATTATTGAAACATCAATTCAATTATTTGCGTGGTCCCCTTGCTCATTTAACCATGGGCACTGTGTGGAGGGGGCGCGGAACGATGACTGATTGAATTGTAATCAACATGGTTATTTCAATGAACACGTAAGCGAACGTGTAAATAAGTAAATAATTACATATTTTCAATTACGTATTTAATTATTTGCGTGGTTCCTTTGCTCATTTAACTATTGGCACTGCGTGGAGGAGGCGCGGAACGATGACGGATTGAATCCTAATCAAAATGGTAATCCCAATGGGCACGCAAGCGATCATGTAGATAATTATGTAATTATGTACTTTTGTATTTAATTATTTGCGTGGTTTCCTTGCTCATTTCACCATTGGCACTGTGTGGAGGAAGCGCGGAACGATACGGATTGAATGATAAGCGAAAAAAATATTATTTCAATGAGCACGCAGACGAACATGTAAATAATTAAATAAGTATTTAATCATTTATTTGATTATTTGCGTACTTCCCTTGTTAATTTAACCTTTGGCATTGTGTGGAGGAGGCGCGGAACGATGCAGGTTCAATGCTAAGCAAAATTGTTATTTCAATGAGCACGCAAGCGAACATGTAAGCAATTCAATCGGAGGTGAGGGGGTGAGATCGAAGTGGAACGGAGAGCCCCCCTACCGGGAAATCGATTTCGGTTTCGTGTTCGTGCGTGCCGTGCGTGCGGGCGAGGCGAAGCTGCGTGGGCGGGCGAGAAGAAAGTCTCCTGTGGCTGAGGCGCGGCCGGACCAAATGTCTCCCTTCCGGGCGGCCGGGCCCGCGGTGTCCCGCCGGTGTCCCGCTGGTGTCCCGTGTGGCTGAGGCGCGGCCGGACCAAATGTCTCCCTTCCGGGCGGCCGGTGGCCCGCGGTGTCCCGCTGGTGTCCCGCGGTGTCCCGCGGTGTCCCGCGGTGCCCCGCGGTGTCCCGCGGTGTCCCGCGCGATGATGATGCTGATGATGATGATGTTGATGATGATGATGATGATGATGATGATGATGATGATGATGATGATGATGATGATGATGATGATGATGATGATGATGCTGATGATGATGCTGATGATGCTGATGATGATGATGATGATGATGATGATGATGATGGTGATGCTGATGATGATGATGCTGATGATGAGGATGATGATGATGATGATGATGATGATGATGATGATGATGATCGAGTGAGATCGAGTGTGAGATAGATCGAGTAAGATCGAGTGAGATCGATTGTGAGATCGATTGTGAGATCGATCGAGGGAGATCGATCGAGCGAGACCGATACTGAGATCGATAGTGAGATCGATAGTGAGACCGATCGAGTGAGACGTTGGTTCCTCCCCCCCCCGAACCTCCTTATCACCCGAAGGGTGGTCGTATAGGCAACTATTGTACCATTTATTTCATTATTTGCGTGGTTCCCTTGCTCATTTAACCATTGGCACTGTGTGGAAGAGGCGCGGAACGATGACGGTGGAGAGGTAGGTGAATGAAAAATTGAATGCTAATCAAAATGGTTATTTCAATGAGCACGCAAGCGAACGTGTAAATAATTAAATAATTATTTCAATGAGCACTGCGAGCCCCATGGGCCCTACGAGCGCTATGAAGCCCTGAGGGCCTCACGAGCCCTACGAGCCCTATGAGACCGGTGAGCCTTGTGAACCCCATGCGCTCCATGAGCCCTACGAGCCCCATGAGTCCTCTGAGCCCAATGAGCACTACGAGTCGCATGAGCATTACGAGTTCTATGATCCCTCTGAGCTCTACGAGCCCTGTGATCCCTGTGAGCGCTATAAGGCCTGAGCCCCATCAGGCCTATGCGACCTATGAGCCCTATAAGATCTGCAAACCCTATGTGCCCTCTTCGGCTGTATTGGCGGCCTCTTGAGCTGTCTGGTTACCGTCTTGCTGGCTGGTCTGGTGTCCGGTGTCCGGACACCGGACACCGGACACCGGACACCAGACACCCACCGCGCAGCGGACACCGGACACCGAACACCGGACACCAAACACTGGACACCGGACATCAGATTCCCATGGGGTGCACCGCGCAGCGGAAACCGGACACCGGACACCGGACACCGGACACCGACACCCACCGCGCAGCGGACACCGGACACTGGACTCCGGACACCAGACACCGGACACTGGACACCGGACACCGCAAGAATCGTCCATGCCTTCCTATAAGGAGAAGGGATGGAGAAGGAGGCGCGCCCGCACAGCGGCGCCAATTTCATAGATTTTCTTCTCCTCTTTATTTTTTTCTTCTTTCATGTTGATGCAAGCTGACAGCAGGACCACCCCGGCAAGGGGCCGCGGGAGCAGCACCGATGCCCGTGCCCTTCGGCCTGCCCCTGCGCCCCCCCCCCCTTGCCCCTGCCCGCGCTCGTCCCCGGCGGGCCTCTCCAGGAGTGCGGCAGCGCGGGGATGGGCGCTGTCCTTGGTTTCTCTCCTCCTCCTCCTCCTCCTCCTCCTCCTCCTGCTCCTCCTCCTCCCCCTCCTCCTCCTCCTCCTCCTCTTTCTTCTTTTTTTCTTTCTTCTCCTCTTTTTCTTTCTTCGAGCTGGACCTTTCTCTCTTCTCCTCTTTTTCTTCTTCGAGCTGGACCTTTCTCCCTGGCGAGCAGGGCACGGCCGGGGCGGCGCTGGAGGCGCCGCCAGTGCGGCCCAGCGCCGGGCCAAGAGAACCGCGCGGAGCTCCGAAAGTGTGTGATGACGCCGTCTCTTCTTGTAAGGGCCGACGGGAAGGGGGCCAGGGGAAGGAAACCTTGAGCCTGGATAAGCGATACATCGCCGATAGGTCGGGGAGAAATCCTTATAGCCAATCTGCGCGTTCCTGGGCGGGGTGCGCTATCGGGCCCCTAGCGGCCATCAATCGCCGGCAGGCCCGTGGGGGGAAGCGAGGGGGCGGCAGGCCTTCCCAGAAGGCGGCGGAGCTTCTCAGAAGCTCTCGCGCCTGCTGAAAAATTCTCAGCCTTCTCCAGAAAGCCTTCTTCCGGCGCCCCTCCCCCCTCTCTCTCCTCTCCGTGTTTGCCTGTGGGGGCGCCGTCCGTCAGGTGCCCTCCTCCCCGAGAAGGCTTGGTTAACTGCAGTGCGGCCCTGAGATCGGCATAATCTTCCGCACCTCCAACCTATGATGGCTCTGGATGGGCACGGCTTCTCGGAAGACTGGAGGGCTTCTGAAAGCCACGCCGCCTTCTAAGAAGGCCCGACCCCTCCTTTGGCTCGCCACCGAATCCATGGGCGATTGGGGGTCGATGCGTCCCCCTGCGCGTATCCCCCCGGACGTGGCCCCTGAGAAAATCAGTGCCGTTCCCTGACCCCCGACGTTGTGATTCTTGATCAACATGGACCCTGGAGGTCTCGACCCCTTCCCTTCCCTGGACAAGTTTTTCGCTCCGAGTCGTTTTTCGAAGTTCCTGGGGCAAGGCAAGGGCCCCTGGAGGCTGAAAACTGATAAAACCGTCCGTCGTGACTTTTCACGGGTCTGAAAGTCTGTGCCTATGCCGTCTGTTCTTCCTCCTCCCATTATTATGTTTCTTTTTACTTGTACTATTACCCCTCGTGCTAAACCTCATATTCGTATCGTTATTCTGCTTATTTGTATAATTAAGAATCCCTTCTTCTTCGTCTTGTCATGATTACTAGTATTACTAGTAGCGTTCGTAGTCGTATTAATGTTACGACCATGGTTTTGTTAGTAATAATAATGCTATTGCTGCTATCAGGTGTTCTCATGTGTGGTAGAAGCGTCACTGGTCTTATTATTAATATTACGAGTATCAGTGCAACTGCTATTACTATTGCTAAATACTGATGTCATTATGACTTTCCCTTTTTATCGGGGTTTTCTTGTTCGTCGGCTCCTGCAGCCGGCCCAGCCGGTCGCCGAGCCTCTCGGCGCCCGCCCTGTCGCGCGCCGCCAGCTCCCGCGCCGCGCCATCCGCCTCCGCCAGCTCGGCGAGCCGGCGCGTGAGGTGGTCCTTGCGCGCCGCGGCCTCGGCGGCCACACGCAGGGGCCGATGAGCCCCAGAAAATGCGTTGGCCAACGAGCATCAAGTCCTCATTCCTTCCTTCCTTCCTTTCTTCCTTCCTTCCTTCCTTCCTTCCTTCCGCTCGTATGAAGTGGCCCTCTATCGGGTCGCCCGCCCGGCCGGGCCGCCCTGCTCGCGCACTTGTAGTTTCCGCTGGTGGGCCCCGTAGCGCCCAGCCCGCGGAAGCCCCTCCCCGCGGCCGGTGGGCGTGGTGGCCTCTTCCTCCTCCTGCGAGCCCCAGAACGTGTGTTAGCCAGGAGGCGCGAGCATAGGGCGACGAGATCTGTGCATTCTGTATCCACTGCTCCAGGCCTGGCCTGTCCTGGGTCCAGGAGCGGTGTATGCACCCTGGCTTGGCCAAGGAGGCTTGGGGGGCTTGGCCAGGAAACTAGATACACAAACAGCCGCCGACGAGTGTTACCCAGTGCACAACCCAAACGATGTTATACTGTTTTGCTTTGTTCTGGCCCTGAACATGTTTAGTCGTTCTGTTCTGTTTTGTTTTCGTTCTGGTGTTTAGAACATTTCCGAAAAACGGCTAGGCCAGAACATAACATACCCAAAACATTGCACTGGCACAAAACAAACAACATAACAACGATGCATTTCTCCTGCGCAACAAAACGCGCAACAAAACGCAACGCTAGCCCGACTGAAACAAAACGCGGAACAGAACGCATGCCATTCTAAAATCCAAAACAAGAACGCAAACACAAATCATAATAAAAGAAAACGGAACGGAAAGAGGGCAACACGGAACGGAAAGAAAGCAAAACGGGACGGAAATAACGCAACGCGGAACGATGATAAGACTGAACAAAAAAAGGAACAACATAAAACAATAGAATGGGCAATACCGTTCCATTTCGACTTATCCTCCCTACGTACCGCATTGCCCTCCCTCAATTCAAGTGTGCCCTTTCTCCATGCCGTGTTGCCCTCTTTCAATCAATGTTACCCTCCCGACGTCCCGTTTTACCCTCCTGACGTTCCGTTTTACCCTCCCGACGTTCCGTTTTACACTCCCGTCGTCCTGTTTTACCCTCCCTACGTCCCCTTTGACCATCCCGACGTCCCGTATTACCCTCCCGACGTCCCGTTTTACCCTCACGACGTCCAATGTTACCCTCCCGACGTCCTTTTCTACCCTCCCGACGTCCCGTTTTACCCTCCCTACGTCCCGTTTTACCCTCCCGACGTCCAATGTTACCCTCACTGCGTACCGTTTTGCCATCCCTACATGCAATTATACCCTTCCCTAAGCTCCCTACGTTCCGTTGTGCCCTCCCTTACCCTCTCTGCGTCCCGATTTACCCTCCCTGCGTTCCGTTTTACCCATTCCTCATCCTCCCTACGTCCCGTTCTACCCTCCCGACGTCCCGTTTTACCCTCCCTACGTTCCGTTTTACTCTCCCGGCGTCCCGCTATTTTGGTCCGCTTCAAGTCTCTTTTTTAACAAGGGCAGAGCATTGTGTCTGGAAGAGCGCGGCGCGGGGCCCGACTGGGCACCGTGGCAAGGGCAAAGGAAACGGCCGGCCTCGAGGAGGCATGCGCAAGCCGGCCCTCGACATAATCAAAACTGCTTCAAAGAGGGGGCATCACAAAACGGTGCGATGTGGCGGAAGGGCAGGCCACGGGTGCACTTGAGCGGAAGGTATCGCGGCCCCCCCAGAGAACACCGTGCAGGCACTCCAATATATGGTCGGGGTCCGCTGTAAGTTTTTTTGTTTTACAAAGGCAGAGCATTGTGTCTCGAAGAGCGCGGCGCGGGGCCCGACTGGGCACCGTGGCAGGGGCAAAGGAAACGGCTGGCCTCGAGGAGGCAGGCGCAAGCTGGCCCTCGACACACTCAAATCTGGAGTCCCAAATCACTCCCGAAACGAAAGATGTGTTTTCTGTCAAGAGGCGGACACTGACGCTGCGTCCAAATCACGGCACAAGCCTGTAGGATATGGTTCAGCCACCTTTGTCCACGTGGTTCGTCTACTCGGGCGCGGCCCCGAAAGCTCAATGCGAGGCGCATTTGAAGACGAGCAGACACCGCGCCCGCGGCAAAGGCGGCAAGACAAGTGGTTCATATCACTGGCTGTCACATAACCGAACAAGATATGGGTCCTTTGTTCGCCATCTTGTGCCGTAGCTGCAGAAGTCCAGCGTCGCTTCCCTCAATGGCGTTTCGCCTCGCCCGCAGGCGGAGCGCTGGGATTTTCCACGTCATGCTGTTATACGGGTTCTCCAGAAACCAAGTTATCCGGCAAGCGTCTCGAGTCCTGATGATCTGCATGGTTGCCCTGGGGAGTCGGTTGCCTCGCACCAGCGTGGCGTGGTTCTTCTCACGGAAATCTGATATGTCTGATACTCCCCAGGGCTAGTCCGAGGTGCGAATGAAACGTGTTCGTATACGAGCAATCGAGAAGCTCATGCACTCAGTAGCCAGCGCCGCCCCAGTACCAACCCATGTTTGGCATCCTCTGAAATGCGGCGCTGCACTCTCTTGTGTATGAGGTCTAAGGAAAGACTGTATCTGGTGCCCCACAGACGCGCAGGGCACCCGAGATGAGAAGTGGCCTTGCCCGCGCCACCATCACAGCATAAGAAATCCGCGGAATATGGACGGTGGCTCACGCTGTTCGCAGTGGCATGGCCTTTGCGCGACCGAAGAAAGGCGCCTCTGACTGCTCGCGCGCCTTCTCGAACTCGGCCACTCGCCGCGGCTGCGGGCGGGCCGCGGACATGTTCAATCTGGCGGCGTGTCTCGCGCGACTTGAAGGAGCTCTCGCACTGCCACCCGCCTCTCCTCTTCAGCTCGAAGCGGTCGTGGCGGCGGCCCTGCAGGTCCATCCAGTGCGGCCCCCGAATGGCGGCGCAGATGCAGCACTAGGTTGCTCAGCTGCAGCCTCTCGCGCGTCCTGACCACGAGCTCGCGGTAGCTGTGCCGGAGGGGCCGCGACTCCAGAGGTCCCCGCGCTAGGGCCGAGATCGCCTTCGGCAGCCGCGGATAGATCTTGAACTTCAGGCTGATGCCCTCGTCCTGTTTCTAATTATTTCTGGCGGCTGCCCGCGTGCCAGGGAAAAGTAATGCTGCCCGCTGGTTCGAGACACCTTCCACTGGGGGGGTCCGATCCTGCCGCTGAACTGTCAAGGGCCCAGGCCTGCGGCAAGTCACAATGGCCCATGCAATGTGAAGCCTTATCGCCCAGAAACCACGGCAGCAACGGCCCCACGCCACCGCTGGCCAGATCACGCGCACAATTGGGTTGCAGGACCGTCGCCCGCAGCGGCGCCTCCATCCCATGAGGCAGCGCCAGGCCCGGGGGGGGGCGGAAGCCACCCAGCCCCCTGTGCTGCGGCTGGAAGCGCAGCAGCGCCGACGGCAGGACATTTCCCCCGTTGGAATTGTGCCCAGCCTCGAAGGGCTCGCCCATGTAGAGCACGAGAGCACCGTCCACCTCGCTGTCCGCGGCGAGCGGGCGCCCTCCCGCGGACTTCGAGACAGTCTGCAGCTCCATCTGGTATCTGGTCTCCACCTGGTATTGGATCTCCCCGTCGGGGTCCGCGGCGGCGTCGCTTTCTCCCCCGCTCTCTCCAGTTTGGGCCTCCACCGCCTCCAGGTTCACGAAATCGCCCCTCGCCTTCGGCGAGGGCTGCTGGAGCCAGACGGCCGCCCGCGCGGATGGCGGGCCCAGGGGTTGCTGTCGGGCAGGCGGCCCCGCCCGCCCTCGGCTGCCAGTCTGGGCCCGCGGCGCGAGCGACAGCGCCCGCGAGCGCCCGGCAGGCCGCTCGGGCGCGCCCGGCGCGGGCACGCTGCCTCCGCCCTTGCTCGGCACCGGCAGGCGGCGGCCCCGCGAGAGGCCCATCGCGCGGGCCCGCTGCAGGGCGGTCGGGGTGCCCGAAAATGGCCTCGCCGGGAGCCGAGGTGGTAGCAGCGTCGGACGGGTGCCTTCGAAGAGGTTCAGCATCTCCGATAACTGCGGGGCCCTGCGGGGTCTCGCCAGGGCCCAGGTCCGAGGGCTTCGAGGTCCCAGTAGGTGAGGCTCCGTTGCTTGTTGCTGTAGCAGAAGGGACTGCCCTGTTGCAGCTTCCGCCGCGTGCTGCAAGGTTGCTGTTGTCCTGCTGGTTGCTGCACTTGCTCGCTTCATTCGTCTCCTCAATGATATTGCTCTTGCTCTGCTCGGCTACGACCTGCTTGCGATAGTTGTTGCCATTGATCTCTGCGTTGTCCTGCTGAGTTCCCAGCTGAACGAGTACGATTCAGGGCCTTCTCGCTATGGCGTCCACAACGGTCCCAGGAGTTCAAAGGGCTTCTTCGGGTCATAGTTGGGGTCGTAAGAGCCTAGAACCCTCGTCGCTCGGGTTGGGCTCGCAAGGAACCATCTTGCATGTGGGCGCTTGTTCAATGCGAGGCAGAGAGCGACAGCCCGACGTACGCAAGTAAGGACAACAATGCGTTTGGCCCTTTCCTTTCGAAACACAGTACCGCGGGCAGGCTGTCGCTCGCCACCGCGACGCGCTCGCCCTCCCGCGGCAAGAGACTGAACTGGATCTCGGTGGCGCGCAAGAGGGCCCGCGCTTTATAGACGAGAATGTCTTCCGAAGCGTTGCACCATCCAAGGGCGGCCAACTCTGTCCAACGGGATCCCGAGAATATCACCGCCGCCATCTCCTTGAACGTCTTGCCCACCCACCACTCGACCTGGGGCGCGATCGCGTCAGCCTCCGCGAGCTCGGCTGCTGGCTCGAGGTCGCCCCCGCTCGTCATCGCGACGCCGTTCGTCGCAGAGAAATGCGCCCCGGCCGAGTGGCCACTCAGGCGTCGGAACTTGTGCCGCTCCTGCGCGCGGCCGATCGCCATCGCGGTCTCCTGCTCAAAAAGCGAAGCGCTCAACGCGTAACCGCGCTCCGACGCGTCGGTCAGGCGCGCGAGCGGGCACCGCGGCAGCGCCCAGTCGCCTCGCAGCAGCGGC